GCATGAAAAGCCTGCCAGCTGGAGGGTAACAACCACTTGCTAGTCATAGGTGTGGAAGAGTCTCTTGCTAGCTGCTGGGCTTCCTACCAGAAATTAATTTGGGGTGCTTTTTCTGGCTGTAAAAATCCATATTATAGATGCTGTTTCAGGGCAAATAACTCGAGGCTTACAGGATTTCATGAGATCTCAAGGCTTCCCATCACGACTGAAAGTTGTGGGAAAACTTGAAGTTGCAAATAAAACGTTCCTGTTTCAAGAAGAGTTTGTGGTGAGGTGGAGGAAGGCTTATGGATGTTTTTCCCTGTCTGTTGCTGACACTTGGAAAGGTCAAAGTGTATGCACAAACCATATGGGCAGGAATGCCAATAATTTTTTTTCCAAATGCTGGAATTGGTTTCCAAGCGTGAGTTGTGGCGGAAGTTAATAACCTCTGTGATCAAAAGTTTGAGTCCTGTGGTGGTTTGTATACGGAATTTTCTTGTTTAGATGTTATTCTGATTTGGCGCTTATTAAATTTATTTTCCGTGACAGATGAGGCAGAAGACCAGGAAAATTACAGGACTCTGTTTTTAATCTGTTACAGAAACAATTGCTATGAAGCTCTCTGACCGTGCATCTGACCTTTGTACCCGTGGCTGGTGGTTCCCCTGATGATATTGAACAATAAGCTCCTGTTAACTTCACAATTTTCTGTGCATCTGCCTTTGTCGTCGGACTTGAAGTTGAAATTGCCGTTGTGTTTTCTGAATGTAATTTGGCTCGATAAGTTAGCCGTGAATAGTTTGTTGTAGCTTACCTGGTCCTGGTTAGGGGACTGTGTCTTGATAAAGATGTTTATGTGAGTCTTTGATTTAGTATTTAATGTTGTACCTAACAATAGCTTTACTCAAATAGGACCCTGTCCCAGCTTATGAAGTTTGCTTAATACTGGCCTTTAAACAGTGCAGCTGAACGAGTCGCTTGACCATTCGAGCAGATTAACGTATTATTTTTAATTTTTGGGATCATCTGCTGATCTGAAGAACCACTCTGTTTAAATACAAAGGACAGAGATGTATGTGTCTCTGTTTTTAACTGGATTTTATTTTGATGGCATACCAACCACTCAACTTGGGAAAAAGCAAAATCAAGGGAGAGAAAAGATCCTTTACTGTGGGGCAGGGAATGAAAAAGGTCTTTCCCCACATCCCCATGTCTGTGTGTTTATTGTCTCTTTCAGAGAGAAGTGAAACAAAATAATTGCAAGTAGACTTTTATACATTCATGTATTTATATACACACATACACTGCTACGTACATGCAGTAACCCCCAGTCACTCATTCTTTTATTAGGTGTTTGGAGGAAGAGAACTGGCGTCGTGGCACTTGTGCAAGTGGTAAACTTCACAATCCCGGTGAAGACAGGGGGTATTAAGCAGGGAGAACACTGCTCAGTTTGGTGATTCCTCATTGTTCCAGTTCCCTTTTCCGCAAAATAATTGGTTCTAGAGAGGTATAAATAACTGGAACATGGGAGTTCATCTGCAGTGACTCGCTGCGTGCTTTTTGACCACTTGTCAATGGTACAGTGTGTGTTCGCTGCTGGAGTTTGTCATCAGTGATGTAAAAAAATTATCGATTGCTTCCAGACCAGAAGTGAGTTTGGGGTTTTGCAGGGGGTGTATTCAGAGCTCATCGGTGGCACAGGAGGTTCTTCGTTACAGCCCGAGTTCTTCAGCCGTTAGAATGAGCTTGTGGTCCTTTCTGAAAAGGAAGTTTTTAATGAAGGCATTGCGGTACCATAATAAAAAACTAGGAGGAAAGAGGTAGCTTTTCTTTTTGCTCTCTCTCCCAAGGGTTGATATGAAATAATCTAAGAATTCTGTTTCCTGAATGTGATTATCTGTTAGCCTTTAGAAAGTGTTTTGCTGTTAATGTTTCCAGTGCTTTCTCTCAAGGCTTTCTGCATGGAAAACATAAAGTGCATTAGGTTACTGATACGTGCTAATACTCTTATGTGTTGTGATATCCTGTGCATTCCTTCTGAAAATTCTGTTGGTGTGTGCATGGTGCTATTGATTTTAAAGTTTTTATAAATAGTTTGGAAGAGCTTTAAACCGACTGCAAAATTACAAGGAGCAATTTTATCCCTTGGGAGGGGATATTCTGCGTTTATTCAGAAGTGCGGCCGTTTGCCTCTTGAAATCCTCAGGTGGTGTGTAAACACCGTAGCTCGGTCTCTCGACTGGGAGCGGTAGGAAATGAAAGGAATGAGAAGAGATTTTTATGGTGCTTGTCAGCAGATCTGGGATTATGGATGGGTCGTGTTATTAGGCATTTAAAATTAGCGCGTAGGTTACACCTTGTAACTGTCAGACCGAAACCTTGCAGGAAGCGTGGTGGGACGAGTCCTGGTGAGACCCTGCAGAGTGGTGTGGCTTCTGGCCGGAGTGCTCCGTGGGCAGGACCCACCCGTGGGGCGTCTCTCGGGATTAACGCGGGCAGTTTCTGCGTTTCTGATCCGCGGTGGCAGAGCTGCTGCGAGGAGCTTGTTGCAGGCAGCAAGAGAAAAACCTTTAGTAAGGAGCAATGTACCTTCCTTGGGATTCCAGTGCTTTCACGGGTGTAGAACGCAAAGAAACTTCCATCTCTCCCCACCTTCCCCAGTGTGTCCTCTGGTTTATTTCATTACAAAAATCAGGTGGTGAAAGAGTTAAATGGGTGGTTTTGTTTGTTTGGGTTGGTGGTCATTGATAGCAATTTTTTATGTTGCCTCTCAGCCCTTTGTTCCTGTTTGTCACTGTATTTTTATGGTTGTTTTGCTCTAAATCAAGTATTTAGTATTGTAGCTTTCAGTAAGGTCTCCATAGCCTTTAAAATTTTTGAATTATTTTATGGTTCTGTATTGTGATCAGCCAGACAGAACAATTGATCTAGCATTGCATAACAATTAACACTACCTTTACAGGCACGTTTTACAAATGCTAATTCCAGGGTAGCTTTTAGATTTGCAGTAGAAAAAATATTTGATTTTTGGTCTTGATTTATACTTGTCCATTGAATAACAACCTCATCTGAAATGAGTAGCTGTTAGTAAAGATAGTCCGGTCGGAGGCGAGAAAAGAGCTGGCATAAAATGGCACGTCGTAGCGAGTCACATTACTCTTTTTATGATACAGATCTTGTGAAAAACTATAATGCATGTCTCGCTTTTTGGAAGTTTGGGGCTTCATAAGTCTGGCTGGCCCTACAAGCTCGTTTCCAGTTTGTCATAGTTAGCTATTCATTATTCTGCTCTTGCTGCCATCTCTTTCTCCTTTTTTTTTTTCCATCTACCTTATCGTGTTCACTGTCTCTGGTTGCACTGGGAGTATAAGCACCATTTGTCACAATTAATTAAAAAAATGTTTTCCTGTAGGAAATGCACAGTAATTCATATATATATATGTAGATATATATATTTGCTAGTTAGTTCCTTAGAAGCATCGGGGTTGTGTGGTCAGAGTGCCCCAGGGACACCGGGGAGCTGCGGTTCGCACAGTGGTGATTCCAGTGGACTTAGCTTGGATTCAGGATGACTTTTGCTTTCTTGCTGTCATAATGCAGATTTATTTTTTTTTCTTCTTCTGAAGTGCTGTAAAATAGGTTTGCGTATCTGTCAACAAATGCAAATACTGCTGGATCCCTCCAGCTAGAATAATACGTGTTTATCCATAGAAAGACAGGAAAATGCGCTTTTTTTTTTTTTAAAAAAAAATATTTCTTCAGTCACTGCTGCCTATGTTTATACAGCTCTAGATCAGAAAGTTGTTGTGGTTTGTGTAAGTTCAGCACGTCGGTCCCCACGAGGTAGTACACAAGGAGCGTTTGTTTGTGTTTAACACGGCCCTTTCACCTGTTGGTTTTTCACAAGGTGCTCCGAGAGATAATTTTCCACAACTCATTCTCTTACCACGGTGGAGTAACCCCTACAACCCTGTTTGAAACCCGGATGAGACACTGATAAGCGGATGTCAGTCACTCTTGACATAATTTCTCGACTTGATGGCTTCACGTGGCATTTTTCAGTTATTTGTGAGAGAGCAGTAGTGACTGGAACCGATCTCACGGGTGCCTTAGCTGAGTTTATCGTTGCTACAATCAAACTACAACCGAATCTCCAGCGTTTTCATTTATTGCATGCAAAAACATGCCCCAGGCGAGCGGGAGATACCTGGAAAGTAAAAGCAAGTCCCATGTTCACAGTTTGCAGTTGGTGCACGCGGCAGGGAGACGGGCACGGAGCTGCCGCAGAACCAGCAGCGCTTGGACGAGCTCCGTCCCAACGACCTGCCGTTCCAGAATCCAGGGTTTTAAAAGCGTTTGAGTGGTTGGCGATCTGGAATGTTGCTAACAAAAACAGCGATGTGGTGGGGTGGTCAAATCTTCCGCTCATCCTCCCAGCTGTTTGGTGTTACTGCAGCTCGAGGCTCTATGATGTCTTCTTGCTCCCTGAAGTTGGGATTCGAGCATGTTTGTTGTTCTCGGTTTGCAGTCACCAAAGCAATTTTGGCTTTGTGACAGATAAATTTCGCTGTTATTTATGTCAATATAGTTAGAAGACGCTAAATGTTGCGACGAAGATAGCGTTGCATCTATTTCTCCCTGGATAGCGGCCAGAGTCTGCTCCATATGACGAATCGGGGTGGTCGAAACTACCTTCAGATATTAAATAAGCACAAAGAACCCCAAAGTGTGAAGTAGTACTACCACAGCTCCCTGCGTTGTTCAAGGGACTTTAAATAATGTTATTTAATCCGTGCGTGAAGGTGAATGCGTTTCCCGATGAGAAAAGTTGTAGCAGTGAAGTTTAGGTGGAGAACGCCGTATACACTGACAGCGTTTCCTTTGCATAAAATGGTTATAAAGTCACCCCAGGCTAATCTTTTGGTGAGGCTAAGGGCGTGCTAAGCGAGGCAACGGCGTACCCGCCGCGACATAACGTTTGTTCTCTTGGTGGCCTTGGCAGGCGTGAGGGCGCGATGGCCGGGAACAGCCTGGTGCTGCCCATCGTGCTGTGGGGCCGCCGAGCGCCCACGCACTGCATCTCCTCCCTGCTGCTCATGGAGGACGCCTCCATGATCGTCACCGGCTGCCACGGCGGGGCGATCTCTTTCCGGGGCTCTCCCCGGGCTGCCACGACGGGCAGATCTGTCTCTGGGACCTGTCTCTGGATTTAGAGGTAAGACTACAGCCGGCGCGGTTGCCCTTGGGGTTAAGGTGCACGTCGCTAGCGCCAGTCCGGTTTTATCTCTTCAGCGTTACGATGTCCGCCCTGGGCTTTGGCTCTTCCTGCACCTTCTTCACTCGTCCTTTCTTCTGCCCTCTCGGGAGGCTTGGATTGACACTACGTGCTGCCTGTTTCGCACGAAAAAGAGGCATTTTTGCTCTTGAACTTTGCACTGCTCCTGCAGCAATTATTTTTCGGTTCCTCCTTTTGGAGCTGCACTGACCTGGCTGTCACTCTGTACTTTAGCTGCTCAGTGTTGGTTTGTGGAAACAGATTCCAGGGATCAGAGGACTGTACTTAGAGAACTTCTAAAGGTTATTTTATTCAACCATTTTTTCCCATAAAAACCGAAAGAGGAAGAGAAAGCAGAGCTAAAGGGTGATGATGAATTGTTTTACGCTAGTGACTTATCTGGGATGGAAATCTCCGAGTGCCTGCTTTGACTATGATCTCGTAGTTAGCCTTGGCGCAACGAGTTTTAAACTGTTGGGGTGGAATAGCAAAGCAATCTTTCCGTGCTTTTTTTTTTTTTTTTTTTTTACAGCATCCTCTGATTGTTTCTGCTGCTATGCAAATGCCATGTGTATGTGTGGGCATATGTATTTGTGTAATATACATATTCCAAACTTAAATATTTATATATTCTGGTTAAATAGTAGTGTCTCTGTTGGTTTTAGTTCACGTTTTATTTCCTTGATTCTAGGTTAATCCTAGAGCCCTGCTGTTTGGCCACACAGCCTCAATTACTTGTTTATCCAAGGCCTCTGCCTCCAGCGAAAAGCAGTACATAGTGAGCGCGTCGGAGAGCGGGTGAGTCGCCTGAGGATTCGGTAACGCGCAGGTTTGTTGAATAATGGAAATGGAGGGTGGAGGAGAGCTCAGGTTGTGTGCATACCCGGTGTTTGTTCCTTAGTGTAATGTCTAAATGGTGGGACTGCACCAGAGGCCCTGAGTGTGGAGTGAATTTTGGATTTGTTGCCTGCAGCCAAGGGGCTTCTGTGCTTTCTGTCCTCTTTTGGCTCGTGTCCACGTGTCCGTTGGCAGTAGGTCCGTCGTTTGCTTCCCGTCCTCTGCTCGTCCAGGCCTGTTCCTTGAGTGAAGGCAAGCTTCAGCTGTCATGTAGCTTACTGACAGGGAGTTTCTCTCAGTGTAAACGATTTTTAGATTTTTTGCAGGCTGGAGTGTTTTCCACTTAGTTTTCATCTTCCTTTTCTGTTTCAGGGAGATGTGTCTGTGGGATGTGAATGATGGGAGATGCATAGAGTTTACAAAACTTGCCTGTACACACACTGGCATACAGGTTAGTTCTTCGAATGTTTCAGAGGTCTTATTCTATATTGCAGTGCATAGATAACTATCAATCAGTTATTAAATCAAGCTGTGGGTTTTCATTTCTCTTTTTCAGCTTGATAATGATATTATGTGTGCACTGAAGTGCTCGTAAATAGCTTATGCTCTGTCACGAAATGCCCTAGAGCTGGAAATACGTGCTGTGCTTCAATTTAAAAAAAATGTTTTGTGATTAATGAGAGAGGCTGGAAAGAAAGAGGGGAAAAAGAAAGTTTTTGGAGGAGTACTGCCAGGGAAGGTGGGAGGGTGAGGATAATCTTGGCAGCGCAGGCTGAGGCGGGCGCTGGGTGTGCCGGGCAAGGGTTGCCTGGGGAGGATAACGGGAAAGGGGGCCCTGCGAAAAGCTTCCCTCAGCAGCGAGGAGCAGTCGTTCGTAACCGTACAGGCACTCACATATATGCACGAAATTGCGGTGCTGATTAAAGCTGAAGCAGTCGGCATCTCACGTGGAGCGTAACTCCTGCGTTTTGTTTACTCTCCGTTTAGTTCTATCAGTTTACAGTTGGAACTCAGCGTGAAGGGAGGCTACTGTGCCATGGGCATTACCCAGAAATTCTTGTTGTGGATGCCACTAGCCTTGAAGTTCTTTATTCTCTGTTATCGAAGATATCTCCTGACTGGATCAGCTCCATGACTATCATTCGATCCAACAGAACACAAGGTAATTGCTTTTGTTGGGTTTATTGTGGCTTTGCCTCCCTATAAGACAAAACACCGTTTTCGCTGTTACTTCTTGTGGTATGGGGCAACACCCCGCAAGCACTTACTTTTCCAAAAAGGGAAATATGAAGTTACTTCTAGTCCCTGAAGAGGCTTTTTTAGTATCTATGCTGTAGTATACATTGAGATTGTTTGGCAAGCTGGATGTGGTCATTTTTGACAAGTACGTACATACTCGGGGTGTTTTTTGTCATTAGTTGCCCCATCCTAACGTTTTCAAAGCTGTTATTGTAGGAAGTGTGTTTAAGGAATGTATTGATAGAAGTACACGATAGGAATAAACCTGAAGACTGTAGGGGAAGGAACTATGTTGTGGCAGCTGAGGTGTCGTGTTCAGGTTTTCTGTCGTGGAGATTAATTCTTGAGAAGTTTGGGGAACACTTAGGAGGAAGATCCTGACAAAAGGAGAGTCTTGATTGACCTGGTTTTTAGTGAGGCTCATGGGTTTTGAAGTGAACACTTGAGGTATGGTTTGATAAACTTGTAATGGTGAGGGACTCATATTTTTGTACTTGGGTGTGCACGAGTGTGCAACAAAATGAAGACGTCCTTGTACTTACCAGCCTGATGTTTGCTTTCCCCAGAGGATACTGTGGTAGCGGTTTCGGTGACTGGCATCCTCAAAGTATGGATAATAACCTCTGAAGTTAGTCGGCTGCAGGTAAACAAAGGCTTCTGAATTAATGATATTTCCTGGTGTGATGGAGAACTGTATTACTGCTGTCTCCTGTTCTTCCAGCTACCTAATGATGTTACGCTTTTTTCCTCTTCACTATTTGAAAAAAAGCTTTTTTAATTTTCCTTTACTGATTCTTCAAGTTAGCAGCAGGATTCCTAATCTTTCTCATATTTGAGTCAGAACTGATTTCAATATTAAGAGTAGGATAATCTCCCATATCGACAAATCTGTTTTTTTATTTGTGCCATGTAATGATTTGTGTGAGTACACAAATACGTTTCTTTTAATTTTCACCTCTTTAAAAGTCTTTTTGTTAAGGCATCTTGTACTACATTTCACAGGAGCTTTGAGTTCTAAAGGGAATCAAGTAACCAAGATTGATTGTTGCAGTAAGGTTTTACTTTCCAACTATAGAAAAATAACCTTATGATATAAATAAACTTTTTTTTATGGACTCATTTACTTCCAGAATATTTATAATGTAGAAGCATGGAAGACCATTATAATGGAATTCTTTACTTTTGCCCTCACCAGAGGAAAAGGCACTCGTGGTTTTTCCTTTCCTAGTTTCAAACTTGATGAAGTTATTTTTGCTCTCAAAGCAATTCCTGGAAACCCTGGTCGTGCAGCTGGTAATGTTTTAGCTAATGTCACATCTAACAGTTACATGTGGAAAAAAAAAAAAAGGCAGCTGTGAGCAGTGAAGAATATTGGCTGTTAGGAAAATAAAAAGTAAAGATGCAAGTAAATAGGGGCTTAAAGAAGTATTGACAAGCTAATTTAAAACCGTCAAGAAATGTCTTTTTTCAGGATGTTTTTATTACAGAAGGTAATATCAGATTTATAATTTTAAATAAACCCAGTTCACTTACCGTTGGTTTTGTTTGGTTTTAGGATACGACGCCGGTGTTTGAGGAGGAGTCAAAGCCTATTTATTGTCAGAACTGTCAAAGCGTTTCTTTCTGCGCTTTCACCCAGCGGTCGCTGTTGGTCGTGTGCTCCAAGTACTGGAGGGTAAGGCGAGCGGGTCAGCAGCACCGGCCTGCGCCTTGGAGTCTGCAGCTGCTTAATGACGACGGACTTTTCTCTCCCGCTCAGGTGTTCGACGCTGGGGATTATTCCCTCTTATGTTCCGTCCCCAGCGAAAACGATCAGACCTGGACTGGAGGCGACTTTGTGTCAGCCGATAAAGTGATCGTGTGGACAGAAGATGGGCAAAGTTTCATCTATAAATTACCAGCCAGGTAGTCAACAGTGGGAATATTCTTCCCGAGATGAAAACACAGGCAACTTTGAAGAAATATTCAATATCTTTGGCTTTTATTTTGTTACAAAGTCATGTGCATGTTGCAGAAACTTGTATTCCATAAGCATATTTTCGCATGTGTGTCCCCTCCGTGTATCAAACTGGGTAATTCAGATTGCCTCAGCCGAGATGGCTTTGCTTTTTTCTGATGTTGCACTAACTCTTTTTCACTTCCCAGTGGAACTGAGTGATGGGAAGACGCGTTTTGCTGTTGAGCAAGTGTCCTGAATTCAGATGTAATTGAAATATTTCTTTAACCAGATCCAAATAAGGAAGAAATAAGATTGTGCTACTTGGAGTAGAATGTAAATGAAGATTGTGTTCTTGTAACAGCTTGTTACGGGAAGACACAAACAGCTGAGTTTGTGCGCACAAATGCAAAAATAGAAAATTAATTAAAAATGAAGTATCAAAGAGGTTAAATAAGTCTAGAATGACTGAGCCAATCTGGTTGCATTTGGAGCAGCTATAAAATGATGAAACACACCCTTTACATAAAAATAAATGATCTGGAGTAACAGCAGGGACAAAATGTAGTGTTGAAGGGCTTGGGGTTTCTTTTGCTTAGTGATATTTAGTAAGCTAGTGGTGTAGTAGTGCATGGAATTTTATTCCTTTCTCTTTGTTCTTAACCCCAGCTGTCTCCCAGCTAGTGATTCATTCCGCAGAGATGTGGGGAAAGCAGTAGAAAATTTAATTCCACCTCTATTGTACAGCGTGTTGGACAGGGCAGATAAACAGGTAAAATACATTTCTCTTGGACAGATCTAGTGCTTAAGGCTATACTACGAGTTGTAAGTAACTGTCTGATTTACAAATGCTGCTATTACAAGACTATTGTACAAATCTGTTTTTTATTTTAACCTTCTTCTATCTTAAGCTTTTTCTTAACAATCTGTTGCCAAATTTAGGCATTGAAACATTTGTATGTTCAATTACTTTTTCTTTATCTTGTCAATCAATATTAAAGATTTTTTGTTTCTGATGTGGAGCATGTTCCTTATGGAATAGTGTAACTTCAGCTCACCATTGCAGTTAGAACATTTACCAGTTTTAGAATACACATATATAAATACGAAGATATTTGGAACAAAAATATATTGAAATCTTTTCTCCTCTCCGCTAAGCCTGTAACCTTGCTTTGTAAATAGCTGCTGTGTATTGCTGTATTTATTCCTTCTCCTTTAGGAAAGATAATTCATGAAGTAGCTGGCTGTTGCCCTGCTTATGTGGAGAAAGCAGCTTTGGAGGGTGGTGTGTGATTTGCATGTGTTCTGAGGCTGTTCATTTTTATTTTTTTTAACAGCTACTAATATGTCCTCCAGTTACTCGATTCTTCTGTGGGCTTAGGGAGCTTTCCTACAAGCTGCTGATCCAAGGAGACTCTTCAGGGAGACTGTGTATTTGGAGTGTGCCTGACGCTCTGGAGCAGCAAGGCAGTGCGAAAGGTAGAGCTCCGCAGCAGTCTCGTTGCCAAGTCTTTTAACCAGCACCTCTCTTACTGTCACACGTGTTGCTGGAGCTTCACTCCTAGCTGGGAAATTAATCGCCAATGCGTGCCTTTTATGTTGTTCAAAAGTTTGTCATGTGGTGTATTTAAACTTTGAGATCTTTTTTTTTTTTTCTGATTGGGTTTTTTTATTTTATTTTTTCAACTCCTCCTCCCACCTCACCCCTTCCTCTTTTCTTTTTGAGCAGGACTGCAAACGACGACTTCGATCTCCCTCCAAGAAGCTTTTGACAAGCTCACTCCTCGCCCCGCTGGCATTATAGACCAGCTGAGCTTGATCCCAAACCTCAACGAACCGCTTAAAGTCACCGCCAGCGTGTACATCCCGGCGCACGGGCGGCTGGTTTGCGGGCGTGAGGACGGCAGCATCGTTATCGTGCCGGCCACGCAAACGGCGATCGTTCAGCTGCTGCAAGGAGAGCACATGCTCAGGAGAGGTAGGCGAAAATCAGCTTTGGAAAAGCCCAGGTGTGCTTGGAGCTACGCCAAAGGAAGACAGAGTTTCACACCGCGAGCATTAAGTCAGAGAATTGCTCTCCGTCGGCTCTGTAGTTAGTCGAGTGTCATTCGCTGGCCTGCCCTTGTATATTCTGGGTCGGGATAATGTTGGTTTAATACTTTTGTGATCACAGGTGCAGAACAAATATTTGGGGTTTGATTGTTACAAGTGGTGCTAAGTGCAGAGACATGTAAATATTTCTTTCTCTAATATAAATATGAGCTTGTCTGTTTATATACAATGCTGTTGCTCGTATGGTTTCCTGTATATCACTGATGTGCTCTGTATAACTCTGTGTAACAGTGTGAGGTTTTTTTCCCCTGGGATGTCCTTGGAGAGGAGAAGACTGTTTTAAGGCAGCTGAATTGCTTTTGACATGAGGTTATGCAGCAAGACAAAAGGATTTATTCAGTCCATGTCCAGTAAAAAAAAAAAAAATTACGAACACTTTGAAAAAAGGCAGGGCTAATTCTATAAGAACTCCTATCAAAAAATGCAGTATGTCTGTATTTTTTTTTAATTTTTTTTTTAACAAGAGCAGTGTTTTGGATTGTTGATTGTTCTATTGAATTATACTTTCTCTTTTTCCCTTTTTCTCCCTCCGCCCTTTCACCCCTCTACCCAATTTCTCAGGTTGGCCACCTCACCGGACACTCCGAGGCCATCGCAACAAAATTACATGTTTACTGTATCCTCATCAGGTTTCTTCTCGTTATGATCAAAGGTATTTGATCTCAGGTGGTGTGGATTTCTCGGTCATCATATGGGATATATTTTCTGGAGAGATGAAACATATCTTCTGTGTACATGGGGGAGAAATTACCCAGCTCCTAGTGCCACCAGAAAACTGTAGTGTAAGTTTTCCGTCATCTATCTGATAACTGTCTCAAACTTTCCCTGAACGGCGCAGCTCCTCGAGAACGTGAAGTTAGGAGGGAATACTGAGGGTGTAGCACTGCCCCAGCTCTTGCAGACACTTAAAAATCGCTCGTGCTCTCCGTGTGGGTGGTGTTTGCATTGGGGTTTAGCTCTGTAGAGGATTACAAATAGTAGAAAAACTGGATTTTAAAACCTAGCTCGCTGGGGCAATGCTTGCCGGGTCACGCTGTGCGGCGCTGGCGCCGGGAGAGGATTTCCGCGCCGCGGAAGCAGCCTTTCCCCTGACGGTGCCTGCGAGTGGTGTGGGCAGGCAGGCCCTGCCGATTAGCCCACGGGCTTTAAAGCAGTTTTGTCTCCTGTGACTTGGAGGGGCGGGCAGAATTTAATGAGCGGGCTGCCATACGTTTAATTGAAAACTGTGGCTTCTCCTTTGCTCGCCAACACAGATTCTAGTACCCGTTTGCCCTTCAGGATGGGCAGGAGGTGGGGTTCAAGAGAATTTCTGCAAGTGCAATCCTGTTTCTAGTGGCTTCTGAGTTTAACCGTGGGCTTGTCCCTGTTTTTTGTTTCTGATATAGGTTATTGATCACCATGCTCCATCCAGTAAAGGTGCAACTCTCTGCATTATGAATAAGATTTTTTTAATTTTATTTTTTTTTAATTAGGCAAGAGTCCAGCACTGTATCTGCTCTGTTGCCAGTGATCACTCAGTAGGTCTTCTGAGCCTGCGGGAGAAAAAATGCATCATGCTGGCATCCCGGCACCTTTTCCCTATTCAAGTGATCAAGTGGAGGCCTTCCGATGACTACCTGGTGGTGGGCTGCTCGGATGGGTCTGTGTACGTCTGGCAAATGGATACTGGTAAGGTTAAGTTCAAAGACAGCGATTAAACAATTTTTTTCAGGTTATAGTGCCATGCTTCTGTCTCCTTAAAGAAAAAACCCATGAAGCAGCAGTAATGCCTGAGTATTTTCAGCTTCTTTTGAAAACTAGATGAGAATTTCTTTTTGATTGAGGCTCTAGGAAGCCAAGAGGAACCTGAGGTTCACTGTGGAAAATTTAATCCACACAGTAGGATGGGTGAGGGGAAAAGATTGCAAACAACCTTCTGCTAAAGATGCTGAGCAACTGCAGCCGTGGCGCTGATGCACACAGAATCATGTTGGGGTTTTGTAAATTTGCCCTGATTTTTTTTTTTTTAACTGTGATTTTGTTTTTCCCCTTGCACACTTCAACTTTGTGGAAGTTTTAAGGAAACTCCAGCCCCTTAGGAATATTAGTTCCAGAAACATCTGTTAACGCTGTGGAACATTGCGTGCGTTGCGTCCCGTGGTGTCAGCTGCTGTCGCCCGTCGAACTTGTGGCGATGCAGACGTTCTGAATTGCTCCTGCTTGAACTCGTGTTTTCCACCTGCGTGCAGGGGCGCTGGACAGGTGTGTGATGGGCATCACGGCCGTGGAAATCCTGAACGCGTGCGACGAGGCGGTGCCGGCGACTGCGCCCCCCGGGGCCACCCCGCCGTGAACCGGAAGCAGGCCATGACCAGGCGCAGCCTGGCTGCTCTCAAGAACGTGGCGCATCAGAAGCTCCAGACTCTTGCCACTAACCTCCTCGCTTCCGAAGCCTCCGACAAGGTGACTTGGGTGGCCCTTGGCCTGGTTTAATGTGCTACCTGAGACGCTCCTTTCCATAAATGACTGAGTAAGACGGATATAAGATTTTAGTCTGCCGATGCCGTTCAGAAACGCTATGGGAGTCCAAGCAGAGCTCGTGTCCCTGCTTTCTGCGGCACGGCAGCGCTGCCGTCTGGGCTGGGCCCGGCAGAGAGCAGCAGAGCTCCGCTGCAGCCCTGCCTCCTGTCCCTGGGTTAGGGAGCCTTCCCCTGCTCTAGCCTGGCTGGAAAAGCAGCATCCGCAGGGAGAGCATTCTGTCTAGAGAGCTCCATTTGTGTCCTAAACCTCCGTAAGAGGGATTTCTGTGTTTTAGGGGTGTAACGCTTGATCACGAGTCTGGCGTGTTTTATTTTTTGTTTTCTCCAGGGGAATCTACCTAAATATTCCCATAACTCCCTGATGGTTCAGGCTATCAAGACTAACTTAACCGATCCAGACATACACGTGCTCTTCTTCGACGTAGAAGCCCTGATTATTCAGCTCCTGACAGAAGAGGCCTCCAGACCCAACACCGCACTCATCTCTCCGGAGAATTTGCAGAAAGCCTCTGGCGGTGCTGACAAGGGAGGCTCCTTTCTGACTGGTAAGCGAGCAGCCGTCCTCTTCCAGCAGGTCAAGGAAACGATCAAAGAGAACATAAAAGAGCATCTTCTTGATGACGAAGATGAGGACGAAGACTCGATAAGGCAGAGGAGAGAAGACGGCGACCCGGAATATCGCTCTAGCAAATCTAAACCGTTGACTTTATTAGAGTATAATCTAACCATGGATACAGCAAAGCTTTTCATGTCCTGCCTTCATGCCTGGGGCCTGAATGCGGTTCTAGACGAGCTTTGCCTCGATCGCCTCGGGATGCTGAAGCCCCACTGCTCGGTGTCCTTCGGCCTCCTGTCTAGAGGAGGCCACATGTCCCTCATGCTCCCTGGCTACAACCAGCCCATGGGCAAACCGTCATACGACAGCACCGAGTTGGGGAGGAAAATGTCCATCACGGAAGGACTTGGGAAGGGGACGTACGGCGTGTCCCGGGCCGTCACCACGCAGCACCTCCTGTCCGTGATCTCCCTGGCCAACACCCTCATGAGTATGACCAACGCCACTTTTATCGGAGACCACATGAAGAAAGGTCCCACCAGGTAGGGCACGTATTTGCTGGGACTTGGGCACAGCTTCCTTCAGAGCCTGTATTTTAATACAGCTTTTTATTTCACTTAATTTTGCTATGGGGTTTGATGTATTAAATAGCTGTGAAAGCTTTTGGTACCCGGATGGAACTGTGTGGGTTTTTTCTTTCTTGAATGTAGTGGTTTTTTTAATGCTGAGATAGCTGTGTTGCTTCAAATGGAGTTACGTGACTTACAACATCGTAGAACATGGAGTTGTATTAACCTACTCACAGGTAGGTTGATCTTAAAGATCCTTTCCAACCTTTATGATTCTAGGTCTGCGAGGCCGTATTTGTCCTCCTTTTTAGTGTCTACTGTATTTAAAGAGGTCTTCGCAATGACTAGATCAACTTGTGAATAATTCAAAACATACAGATGAACTTTTCATCACCAGAAAGTAAACTTATTTTGGAATTGTAAGATACTTAGAAAAAAAAAAATCAATCTGTTGAACCAGCTGTCTGCCGTGGGACTCTTTCTTCAGTCACAGTGTCTTCGGCAAATAACT